TGTATAAATAAATAAATGGATATAAAAATATATTGTTTGTGTTTTAAAAAAACTAGCAGATTACTTAAAAATTAGTAGAAAAATCATTATGGCCATTTTAGGCCACTGTAATTGGTTCAGGATCTGTACTTGAAAATGTACAAATTCTGGTTTACCATTACCATTTCAGGTTCTTCCCCGATTTATCTCGTTAAATCCTTTCGACATAACTCGTAACAAATATGTTTTTGTCTTTTCACAAAACGACATTCACCGAGAAATGTCGAAACAATCCATTGTTTTATCCGAGACATATATATTCGATGTCTTATAAGATTTTCATAAATCCCATGAACAACATGATGATGTATTTTCAATACGAAGTTATTTGTGAAGATATTGTATTCAAATGTCGTGGAGGATTTGTGGGAAACTGATTTGCCTAATGGCAAGTTGGTAAAGATATAAATTGGAGTCGAGAAGTACGGTAATGCCGATTGTTGTAGGCTTGTATTTTAATTTTGCAAAGTAAATTTATAAACTATTTGAAGTAAAACTTCTTTAGGCGCGACTAGTGTGTAAATGCGTACAAATGCAACGGAAGTGCGTTGCAGCAGATAGGAGTCGATAAGATAAAGAGTCGAGTGCCAATGATTCGTCATTCGCTCTGGAAGATATCATTTCTATACGAGCCGATTGTGATTAGTCGTTGTGTATGTGAATAGAGATCTGTGGTTGTATGCGTATCAATACTAACAAGAAAATCGACATAGATAAATAAACATTTTAAAAGTACATCGTAGTACAAATCTTGATTTAATGAAAAATGCCTGAATCAGAAGAATATTTCACCCTGTTCCTTAAAAATAATAAAACAAATTAAACATTTGGGCCGTGTACTAAACGTAAGTTTATTGATTAGAAATTATTTCTATATTACACGTAGTTTCTATAAATCTTTGAAGTTATTAAGATGGAAAATATTTTTTAGGCAAGACAGATATTACAGCTGTTCAAAGAATGAGATTATATCGCCAGCAAAAAAGTAAAAAAATATAAGCAGTCAATGAATGTATGTTAATTTTAATTACATGAAGTTCTTCAAACACAATTACCTGATGAGGGTTGCAAAAACATTATTTGTTTAGGCGTTGTTTAACATAATCCACTGTGTGAACGATTATTATAGAATTTATTAATCAGCAATTACATTATTTCTCTAATGAAGGTTCATTTCTAAATGCTAATTACAATGACAAGCCGATCATGTCATATTTGAAATACGACTTGAATTACATTATTGTTTTTAAATATTATACACATTTTTAATGCCATTGTAAATATATAATTTATAATTTATCATTATATAAATTTAAAAAATATAAAAACTATATATGAAACTAGTTTTCCAACAAACGTTAGTCATTCTGTCCAAAATTTTTATTTTAAACGATCAAACCTAATCAAACACTTGAAACTTCAAAACCGTGTACGGTTTTTCACTAAAACGCTTGTAAGTCTTGAACAGCAACTTTGATTCATGTAATTTTTACATCATTTCATAGCTAAAACTTTAAGCTTTCATCAATTTGGGACTCCAAACTTTCTATCTTGTACCAATTTTCAAATACAAAGCTTCGAACTTCAATTTTCACGTAACCGCAAATCTTCAATCAAACCAGGTTAAAGAAATTTCACATGCAGGATAGCTTGGCTTAATGCAAAATTTGAAAAAATATGAAAACAATTTGTCAAAAACAGTTTTTTAAGAATCATTGTTCACTATTTACAATTAGTTTTTCAACAAACGTTGCCCATTTTGTAGGAATTTGTTGATCAAACTTGATCAAACACTTGAAACCCCAAAATCGCGTACGGTTTTTTACTAAATTGACTGTAAGTCTTGAACGGCAACTTTGATTCATATGAGTTTCATGCCATTTCATAGCTAAAATATTAAGCTTTCTCCAATTTGGGACTCCAAACATTCTATCTTGTACCAATTTTCAAATACAAAGCTTCAAACTTCAATTTGTACTTAACCGCAAATCTTCAATCAAACCAGGTTGAAAGAATGACATACCCAGCGCTGAAGATTTACTTACAATTTTCGCAAATAAAAAGTATACATATATATATATATATATATATATATATGTATATATATGTATACATTTATATGTATATGTATGTATGTATATGTATGTATGTATTCATGTATATATTTACAATGCTTTTAAAGTTACACATGTTTTGCCCATAATAGACTCATTTATATTTACTGCTCGTCTCCTAAACCTAAACCGAGATCATTAATTTAGCATCTCGGTTTCTCGGGACAGTTTTAAAAGTTTTATTAATGATGTTAAGTTTAAGAACTCGGGTTGACGGCAGTTAATTTCGCTTCAACGGCGTTTAGTCGCGTCGTTTACCAAATATTTCCTCTCAGTTTTTTTGCATTTCATTCGGCAACAAAAAATAAAAATAGTGGTTAAGTAATTAGATGATTCTTATATTCATTTGTATGCTTTTCTATATATTATATGTACAATAAAACTGTAATTAAGGAAAAGAATAAAGTGAAGCTTTGCCTATTGGCAAAAAAACTTTTGAGAGTATTTATAGTACAGCAGTGCATTTACATTTATAGTAGTTTTTTTTGACTATATAATTGTTAATTACTGCTGCAATAGTAATATAAAATATTAATAAAAGTTGTAATAAAATATAGAACTATGTGCAAGTGGCATTTTGCCTTAAAACAAGTTGTTTCGATGAGAAGTAAAATTTTCTCTCAGGTACATAGTTTCCATTGTATGTGTCAAACTATTCAGAACGACTTGAAGGTTATAAAAAAAGTCAAAATGAGTTTAAAACCCAAGTAAGACTTGTTTTGAAACAAACATTTCTGATTATTATTCTCAAATTTAACAAAGTATCAATAAACAAACAAAATTGATGTACTATGAAATATATAAACATTACTGCATTTAAAAAATGTAGCACATGGCCAATAGGCAAAAAATAATCAGTATTGTCCCTTATGTATATATATATATATATATATACAAATAACTAATGACATCTCAAATATAACATCATTAATTTTTCGAAACCTTTTAGCCTTTTTTCCGAAAAAAATTAAAAAAGATATTTTTTGACGATGAAGAATGATGAAGTTGAAGTCGTAGCCAAAAATATTATGTTTTGTCATTTAATTATATATATATATATATATATATATATATATTTAAAAATATGTTTTGACTGACACTGTTGACAAGTGCAATTCATTCTGAACGAATACAATATTAATTATTTGAAACAAATAGAATCTGTATGAGATTTTAAAGCCTAAATATTTGAACATTAAAAAACATTGATTATTAATTGTTAATGTAAATTTGGACACTATTCAAAATAGAGATATTAAATAAAAAGGCCAAAAATGCACTAGGAATCTTAGGAAAGTCCATAATTTCAAGATGCGTACTAGTTTCATACATTTCTCTCAAAAAATTACTAAAACCAATGTCTAACATTCGTAATTATAATTTAAACTTCAAACTAATTATAAAATTGAATGTTTTAGTTAAAATAATATTATCAATCACATAAATAAATAATTAATTAAAAAATTTAATTAAGAACTCGAAAAGAGTCCCACAAAATCTATAATTTCAAAATGCGTACTAGTTTCATACATTTTGTCCCTAAAAAAATTCCAAAAATCAATATGTAAGATTTGTAAATATAATAAAAATATTACAATTAATAATAATAATAAAACTAGCAACATTTATCTTTTGTAATAAAATAAATAACTCAATAATTTAAAAAATTGTGCAAGGAATCGAGTAAGACCTTTACAAAAATCTGAATTTTGAAATGCGCAAAAATTTCAAAACCTAAAACTAAGATTAATTATTATAACAAAAACATTACAATTTAAATATATATTAAAGTACTAATATATATACAAGAACAAGTTTCCCAAAAAAATGGCAAACTGGCGTATAGCATTCTTAAATATAATAAAAACAAATTTATATTTATAAAAACATACTAATATTTATAATACAATAAAATAAATAATTCTCTAATAGCCAAGAAATCGAGTGAGTCCCACAAAATTTAGAATTTCAAAATGCTTACTAATTTCATACAGCTACTGAAAATTACAAAACCAACGTCTAATATAAATAATGATAATAAAAACACTAATTTATATTTAAAATGAAGACATTTGAATATATAATGTAATCAAATAAATAATTAATAAATTAAACAAAACAGCCAAGAAATCCAGTAAGACTCTCACGAAATTTGTAAATGCGTACTAGTTTTATATATTTTTTGCCTGAAAATTAATACTAACCACAGAGCAATATTTATAATTGTAATAAAGATAATACAATTTATATTTATAAAAAAATAACATTTATAATTGCTATAAAATAAATAAAAAAGCAAATCCAATAAGAGTCTCACAAAACCATAATTGCAAAATGCGTACTAGTTTCAAATATTTTTCACAAAAAATTACAAACATTAACGTATAATATAAATAATTCATCACTGCAATTAAATAAATAGCTAATGAGTTAAATAAAACAGTCAAGAAATCCAATAAGAATCCCACGACGTGCATTATTTCAAAATGCGTACTAGTTTTATATGTTTTTCCCTAAAACTGTAGTAATAATCAAAGTCTAATATATATAATTGTAGTTAAAACAATATAATTCCCATTTACAATAAAAGTAATAATATTTAAAATTGCCATAAATCGAATAAATAATTGATTAAATTAGCCTAGAAATCAGAAAGTAAGTAAGCCTCAAAAAGTAAGAGGCTCACGAAGTCCATAATTTCAAAATACATATTAGTTCCATGCACTTTTCCCAAAAAATACATAAAACCAATGATTAATATATAGAATTATAACAAAACAATAAAATATAGTAATAAAATTCATGAATTATTAAAAAGTCTATAAATGTATCCTTTCCCTCTTTCAGATTCCAACGAGCCTCCAAGACTAAAATGCAATCTCCGCAAACACAAGCCAAATCGCAAACCGAGAACGCCCTTCACAACCCAACAACTGCTATCCTTAGAAAAAAAGTTCCGAGAAAAACAGTATTTATCCATAGCCGAAAGGGCAGAATTTTCCAGCTCCTTAAGACTGACGGAAACCCAAGTGAAAATCTGGTTCCAAAACCGAAGGGCAAAAGCGAAAAGGTTGCAAGAAGCTGAATTGGAAAAGATTAAAATGGCAGCTCTGGGAAGAGTGGCGGCTGTCGGCGCAGCCGGCGGACCGAACAGCGCACTTTACATGGGATACTTTCACCCTGGTTTGATGGGCGGGTTGCCGCATATGTAAAAATCGATGTTTGGAGATTCGTAGACAAAAAGGGGTAAAAGATACGTTGTTTGGAGTCCCAAATTGGAAAAAGCTTGATGCTTTAGCTTTAAAATGACGCTGGAAACACTTTAATCGGATGTAGTGTTCAAGACTTATCGCCGGTTTAGTGAAGAAGTGTACATGGATTCGAAGTTTCCAAGCACAAGGACTACCCACAAATATTTTGCAACATTGTTTGTTGAAAGAGATTATTATTAAATAGTCTTGTATATATTTACATATAAATGCATAAAAAAATGTTCAAACTTGTACAAATTGTAAATAAAACTTGTAAATAGAACACGCTCTAAGTGCGTACAAGTTTATGTTTGAAGCTACGTATTTGGAAAACGGAGCACGATAGAAGATTTTGAGTCCCAAATTGGTGAAAGCACAAAACTTTAGCTTCAAAATGATGCTAAAACTAATTTAATCGCATTACCCGATCAAGATATACAACCGGTTTAGTGTAAAAACCTACTGGGTACCTGGTGTAAGTGCGTCCAAGTTCATCTTTGAAGCTTCGTGTCTGAAAAAACGGAGCACGGCAGAAGTTTTGAGTCCCAAATTGGTGAAAACACAAAACTTCAGCTTCAAAATGATGCTAAAACAAATTTAATCAGACTACCCGACCAAGATGTACAACCGGTTTAGTATAAAAGCCTACTCGGTACATGCTGTAAGTGCGTACAAGTTGATCTTTGAAGCTTCGTGTGTGAAAAACGGAGCACGATAGAAGATTTAGAGTCCCAAATTGGTGAAAGCACAAAACTTTAGCTTCAAAATGATGCTAAAACTAATTTAATCGGACTACCCGATCAAGATGTACAACCGGTTTAGTGTAAAAGCCTACTCGGTACATGCTGTAAGTGCGTACAAGTTGATATTTGAATCTACCTATTTGGAAAACGAAGCACGACGGAAATTTTGGAGTCCCAAATTGGTGAACACACAAAAGTTTAGCTACAAAATGATTCTAACACAAATTTAATCGAATTACCCGGTCAAGATGTACAACCGGTTTAGTGTAAAAGCCTACTCGGTTCTTGAGTTTCAAGTATATGATCGAACTTAAAGTTTTAATTAATAACATGATATTTAGAAATACAGTTTATCAAAAAAACATTTCTGAACAGTTTTGTATATAAATTGTGAATAAACCATCCTCAATGTGCATGGATTTCTTTCAACCTGGTTTGACTGAAGATTTGGGCTTACGTACAAATAAAAGTTTGGAGCTCTGTAACGCAAAAGTGTTTTGAGATACTTCAATTTTTCCAATTGAAGCTTGATACTTTATATTCAAAATGCCGCAAAAACAAATTTAATCAGTTTTGCTGTTCGCAAATTATGGCAGGTTTAGTGAAAAAGTGGTACTTGTGGTAAAAGTTTCAAGCAGACTTACAGTTTATTTGTTAATAACTCTTAAAACATTAAAGTACGACTGTACTTGTTTAAAAATAAATTAAAGCTGGTACTTTATACTTGTGACTTAAAGTGATTTGAATTCGTGCAATTAGTTTGCAAAATAGAGACAGTCAAGTGACAAAATGCTCATAAACTTCAACATTATTCTATCGAATCTCTTGCAATATTTATTTAACAAGAAAGTGATAAAAGACAGTAATTTTTATGCTCAATACAATATGTGTTTAGAGTTATGAAATTCTGAAAAAATATCTAAAGGGTTTATAAACTTTTAACAAAGACGTTGATAACAAAACCATGTGTTTCAGCTCAAACTTTAACATTGAGAAAGTTTTGTAAAATTTGTGGAGCGAAAACTAATATTGTATCTGATTAATCTGATAAATTATTTAACACCGTATAAATATTATTTAAAATGCAAACAGTTTTGTACAAAAAATGCACAAATGACTTATGACATATGTAATTGATTTATAAAAAATTAAAATGGAAGGTGGATGCTTTGAAATTGACACAGAAGTTAACTATATCATTGTTTATATTCATTTGCTTGTCATTTATAACAAATTGTAATAACAAACATCTTTAGAAATATCCTTTTTAAGCCTGGAACAATTTTCCGACGCTGTGTAAGACTTGCAAGTGCAATTTTAAAGTGATCAATCTTAGCAAATTTTAAGATACAACTTTGATGTTTATAGAAAAATTAAAGAACAAAGGCCTATTATTAAAACTGTGTCTATTTCAAAACAATCCAATGTTTAATTCTAAAAATACAAACAAAAGAGTAAAAGTAACGCACCGTCGGTAACATTACAACAAGGTACAAAATGACCTTTGATGCATCCTCATAAAAACTTATTTCTTTAAACTATTTTTTTTATTCAATACAATTTAATAAAAGATTTATTTAATTTGTTATATAGAACTTAATACAAAAATAATTTATTTTGAATTTACAAAAATATATATTTGTGAATTCAAAAACGGGGGCATGTTCAAGGAGTATTTTGTATTTTCAAGTGAATACATGATTTAATTGTCTTTATTCATATAATTTTGCAAAAACCTCAAATGAATTTTATTTATAAATATATATATATATATATATATATATATAAATATATATATATACAGGTTTATAAATGAAGAAACGCTTTGGGCGATTTGGAGTCGTTAAAATTTTATTTAGCACTTCATTATTGTATTCTATATTAAATTTGAATATTTATATATGTATATGTATATGAATATATATGTATATGTATAAATACATATACATATATGTATATATACATATGTATACATAAATAACTTGTTTATCATTCAGTCAATTAAGTTTTGTGCTTTGCTCATTTGCAAATTACCATATCATTAGTGGAAAATATCTTTATATATATATATATATATATATGTATATATGGTTAATTAATTTATAATTTTTAATTATACATTAATCAAATTATTAAAAGTTATCTAAATTACTTACTTTTGAACTCCAGTGCATCTCCATATTGAAATTTGTTACATTCTGATTCCTGAAAGAAAAAAAAAGAATATATCTTATATATAAAATTCTTCTGTAACAATGTAAGTTTCATTAATCTTCCTAAACTATAATTCGGATTTTCATGAATCTTCCTGAAGTTTGTTCGGGAAATTTTCTAGAATATTTTGATTCATAGAAATATAGTTAGATTGTAGAAATAAATAGAAAAAATTACAAAAAACCGCTTATCATTGTTTGCCCTTGAAAATATTTGAAGCTTAGTTTGACATTAAAAACAATTGAAGACTGTCATTTGCCAAACATTTCTATTCACTTATAGGCTAAGGCAATACTAAAATATAATAAATTCATGATTATGAATAAGGAAAATGTAATGTCTACATTATTAATGCCGAAAAGCAGCTGAAATGTGCCAAAAATTAAATTAATATAAGATGCAAATAATATAACATGAGTCTGACAGTCTGCGCATACGACTGACGCGCACGGCGAATCGTGTTCTCAACGTGCGCGTGGTATGCTTTTGCTTGCAATAATTTGTTTGCGCACTTTGCGAACAGATTCGCCGTACGAATTCGTGCAAATATTCAATTTGCAGTCGTTTTGCCTTACTATACTAAGTCACAATACAAAAAAAAATTATTTACAAGTTTCATTGTGTCAAAAATTCATATATTTGTCATTGGGTACGGAATATTTACACAATGGAGCGCTTTCGGTCTGAACTTTTTTTACTGTTTTCCATTTCGTTTGGAATTTTGGAACTAGGTTCATCTTACTCTTCTCTCAGTTTTTATAGTGCTCAAAATAAGCTTTAAAATGAGTACTTCTGCGTGTAAAATGAGTAAACTATCATGCAAAGACGCATATAATGTTTTTTTTATTTAAATCAAATAGTTTTTCAGTGCCATTTCCACCAAATTTAAAAATAATCGTATTCCATCTCGAATTAACTTGGTTTAAGAGATCTTGATGGATTCTAGAATATATCACAACTTTAGTACAAACGATTTTCAAAAAACTCATGATTTCATGAAAAAAAAAACATTAAAAAAAACATTCAATTTCTCATTATAATATCTTTGAAAGAATACGTATAAAAGTATATATATGTGAAAATTCGAGGTATTTTTCTGACTAATTATTGTTGTTTATTATTTTTCCATTACACAAATATTGATAGAGGTATTAATTAAGGAGTGCGCGGCTGTCCAACCAGAGGTCTTTCGAGCCCTTTAACCCTTCGCTGTTTCACAATGAGAGAAGTTACGGTAAAATTTATGATAGAGAAAGTTGTAGCTCATTTAATCATTTTTAAAATAGTGTATTACAAGTTCTGATAAAATCAGAATTAAAAGAGTAATAATCCAATTAATGCGGTGGATGGTGACGGAGTGCAAATTGTTAAAATCATTGAACTTAAGATAAAGATTAGCCTATTTCCAAAGTATCAAGTAAATTGAAGCACAGTAAAAAAAATTCACAGAGCCATAATTTATGTTGATCGTAAGTTCAATAGAGCACATGTGAACAGAATTTGACAAATTAATTCACTTCAAACATAAACTTAAGAAATAATGTATATTGATTTATTGGAGAAAAAAATGTAATTTAGAAATTAAAATCACTAAAAGCCAGTTAAAATATGGTACAAAATTATAAAAATTATAGACAACATTATTGAAGCAATTATTTTGGGTAGGAAAATAAAAGGTGATATTGCACCTTTGCCGCGAATGCTATATATTAATTCTTTCTGATATTGTTGTACTTTTTAAAAGATTTCAATTTTCAACACGTGTATCTTATGCTATGACCATAAATCACAAAGGCAGACGATCATTTTTAGTGTGATAAATTTGGAAAATCAATGTTTTAGTCGTGAATAAACAAAAAATCGTTCATTTATACATCCACATCTACAGGTATGACTAAAAATACTATATAACCCTTAAATGCAATAAAATATATTGAGCTATTGGAAATAAATTTGTTCTATAAATCGCAGTGTATAATTTTTAATATACAATTTTATTGAACA